AGATTCAAGCACACACAGGGCAACCGGTACTGTACATGGGTAAGGCGAAGCCTAGGGATCAAAACCCCGACTGCTACATCTGCTACCATAAAGGTGAAAACCCCTTCAACATGGCCATTATTTTTTTTTATTTTTTTTTTGGGAATGCACAACCGTTGTAGTTATGCCTAGTCTTAAAAATTGGCCCAAAAACAGCTACAATAACCTTGCATTCTATTCGGGTGAAGACGGTAGGACTACCGCAACAGAAAACGGTAGGACTGCCGCAACAAAAACGCGGGTTCAATAAAGGACTGGTTTTGCCCGTATGTTAGCTCTACGGCGTGGTTTGTTGGACGACCAACACAAAGGGAGGGAGAGAGTGTAAGAGAGAGATAGAGGAGGAGCATGAAGAGAAGGGGGAAAGGACGAAGAGAGGGAGAAGGAGGTAGAAGGGAGACGGCCACTCAGAGAGGAATGATCGTTCTTTCCCCGATCACAGCATACCCTCAGTTCATCTGCACCTTACCGAAAACACAGGTTGTATACATTCATTTTCTGATTCCTTTATTATTTATGATTATTATTATTATTATCACTAGTAATATTATAGTAATATTATTATGATATCGATTTTCATTTCAAACAGCAAGTTCAACTATAAACGAACAAGGAAAGTGAGCTCGTACCTCAACTAGGGGTTGTGTGGGGTGCCCGCCATCAAATATGAGGTTTTCCTCTCGTCTTCCCATCTTATATAGCTTGTATAAGTACTAACCTAGATTACTATGTATGCATCTGTGTCTGACTATATGAACCTGCAACTTTCCTGTTGATTAAGTTTGAGCTAGGAAAATGCTATGCATGCATGCGCGATCCTTTGAAGTGATTTTGGAGTTTTTGTATTATGAATACATGATGGAATGCGGATCCTACGCGTACCAATCTCGCCGTATGATTGTTGACATGAGTTGAGTATGACTAATTATTTCTGAAAACACATTATGGGAATGAAAAACTCCCGTGTGTGTGTTTATTTTTGGGTAGATGAGGCAGCGGGGATGTGGACTCCGTGAAGTCTTGCCCTGCTTGATAGGATCTTCTAACATTGATGAGGGTTGAGGTCACTACAAAATATATTGGATTGCGCATATGTATGTTTGAGATTATTGATTGGCTAACCTAGGATGTATGTATGTATTTGTGTTTACCCGTCGGGATGGCGGTCCGACAGGATGGAGATGAAGGGGTAGAGGAAAGAGGAAGTGGAGATGGAGCTGGAACGGACAGCGTAGCTCCAACGCAGACTCAACACCGCACGTACTCCAATAAGTGCAAAACTGATGAATGTCGAAAAATAGACAACAACTGGGGTATACCCCCAGCGGACTGACTGACTGGACTGAACTGGCCTGGTACCGACAGTGGTACCGGGCAGGACTGGAACAACACACGGTCTGTGGGGTTAGGCCACGACCTGGTCCCACATGCCGAACTGGCAAGTAGCCAAATAGGCCCTTGCTGTAGGCCAGGGAAGATGGAGGCCCATTGCACGATCCTCAGACCTATAATGGACCGCAAGAGCCATAAACATGATGTCCGCAAAAGCAGCGGAACTCGAAAGCTGATAAATCTAGGATGCGGAGTAAGCTCCATGCGGAGTCCATGCGATGTAGCCTAAGCTACATAATGTCAAAGGAAAAACAAATGCCTAGTATACATATCCTAACTAACAGCAGAAAATGAAATGTAGCATGATACAATCCTAAAGTCCTGGAGGCAATGGCCTCAGTGCTGAAAGGAAAGGAGCAATATGTCACAAGATAATGTCATGTCGCTGAACCACTAAGAGTGGGATGGTCTCAGAGGGGGTGAATGCAGCCTAAGAATCGAAACTCCTAAGGGCAGTCACACACGAAGGTGGGATAGGTCATCAGGCTCAAGGTGGGAGGGTGGTAGCGAAACAAACCCAATGACCCTAACAGATAGATCATCAGGCGGGTAATGCTCGACAAAAGGGTGACACCATGCAGGGTCGACCATGAAAAAGGGGGAGCCTGGAATAGGATGGAGATATGCCCGACCGAAGGCATGCAAGAGCCGACGCTAGGGTGATGAGGGCAGTGGGTGAGGGAAACATGCACACAACTCACCGACTAGGGGAGGGAGTTAGATCTGGGAGCGAGGAAGCCAAGATAATGCTACAGTCCCAATGCCTATGCGATACCAAGGGAGAGCTCAACTCAAGGAGACCCAGCTAAGTGAGAACCATCATGCGACACATGCAAGGAAATATACAAGGTAGAGTGGTGGGGGGAGGGGGCGAGACGCAGGGAGTCACGTTCAAAGTAGCTGAAACCGATAAGGTGGCTGAAGTCGAGAAGGTAGCTGAAGTCGTCGAAGTGGTCGATGACGTCGATGAAGTAGCAGTGGAGTCGATATCGAAGCAGAGCCGCAAAACGCTGACATCCTGAAGAAGATGATGATGGAGTACCTGATGGTGTGAGTCAGTAGGGAGATGGTAGGTGATCAGAGTGTCAATCGTCAAGACGCCGAGGGCGTCGACAAGTGCGCTGTGGACGCTCGGAGACGTTCGTCTGCTGCTGAAGGACGGCCTCAGAGGGAGCGGGCTCGTCCTCAGTGATCTCCTCAGCCGGAGGAGGAGGAAGAGGGTCAATCGACTGAGTAGGAGCAAATGTCTCAGCATGACGAGCACGATCATATGCACGCACCAACATCCGGGCGTGCTCCAAGTGCTCGAGGGGCTCCCAAGTAGCCTCCTCATCAAGATAACCCTTCCAACGCATAAGGTACTCGGCGAGATACGATGTCGGAAACGACGAACTCCTGGTGACCGTCCACCATGATAGGTAGAGGGCGCTCATAAGGACGTCCTACGAAGCGCTCGGACGGTCTACGATAAGGACGCAACAAGGAGACGTGGTAAACATCGTGTACGCGAGCCTGCCGAAGGTAATCGGGTAGCTTCACACGGAAGCTGACCCGGCTAGCGGCAGTATCAGAACCGACGGCCTGAAGGATGCGGCATGGACCGAAGAAACGACGCCTAAACTTGCGAAGCGTATCTGCTTCGAGCTGTACGTGACGTGCGTCGACGAGCACATCGTCAGCGACTTTGAAGGGTGATCCATTCGTGATCGGTTTGCTCGTGCGGCCATGTGAGTCTGGGAATCGGCTAGACTCTCGTGTGCATACTGCATAATCGCCGCCATGTGGGCGATCCAGTCATCCAGCGCAGGACAACGAGTGTATGGGCGCAACTACGATGGTCGTAGGAAGTCCGCGGGTACACGAGGGTGGTAACCGAGGTCACAATAGAATAGCGACATCCTCGTGGCTTGTAAAACAACATGGTTGTACGCAATCTCTGCGTGGGCTAAGTGTAAGTCCCATTCCTGGTCATCCCTAACAAAATTTCGAAGGATATTACTGAGAGTTTTATTGGCGACCTCAGTCTGACCATCCGTCTGAGGGTGGTAAGGCGATGAGAAGCGGAGCTGGGATCCGTAGACCTCGTGCAGGCATCGCCAGAATGTGCTGGTAAAGCGCGGGTCACGGTCGGAGATGATGCTTTGAGGTAAGCCGTGATCTCTCACGACTCGGTCGAAGACGATGTCAGCGACCTCACAGGTGCTAATGCGATAGCAGCATGGGACAAAACGTGCACGCTTTGTGAAGCAATCGATGACGACCAAGATAGCCTCATGACCGCACTCAGTGGGTGGGCGGAGGGGACCAATGAAATCCATTAAGCTGGACTGTGAACGACCCTCGGGTATAGGTAAGGGCTAAAGTAACCCAGTCACTGCCCGGATTATCGCGTCATCCACTCGACACTGCAGAGTGGCAAGGGCGTTCCCTCATACTCCCTTGGTGACAACGGTCTCGTGTACAGGCATGGCAGATCTGGTCAGCTAGAACCACGTATCTGCATTCCCTCCACCGGACAACTCCGCGTCCAGGCTGTAGCATAGTTCCATGACCAGACAGTTGCCGGTCATATGGGCTTCCACAAGACGTACAGTGGTGATGGAGATGGCGGCAAGATGGATGGGTTCCTGATTGTGGTCAGGACGGCGGGATAAGGCATCGGCGATGCGGTTCGTTTCACCCTTGATGGGCTGAGTGGTGAAACTGAACTCGGATAAGTCACACCACCAATGTGCCTGTCGAGGGGAAAGTTTGGGCTTCGTGAGAAAAGCCTGGACAACTGAGTTGTCCGTTCGCACCGTGAAGGACGCCTGTGCAGATAATAACGCCAATGTCGGGTAGCATAAACTACTGCAAGAACCTCACGTTCATCGACAGTGTAGTTTATCTCGGCAGGCAGTAGCTGACGAGAGTAGAAGGCGATCGGTCAATCCCCAGCACGAGCCTCAACAGTCCCATCCTTTGCGATGGTCGGGGAGTAAGTAATGGGAGGACTGTCAGTGAAGGGAAGTGGTGGGAGGATAGGCGTCAGTCGAGAAGAAGTGTCAGCAGGAAGGGGGGAGGAAGGAGGAACATGGGGATAAGGTGAATCAGGAGGAGAGAGAAACATCCGAGAAAGTACCGCTCCTACTGCAAAATCGGACACATTAGTGGTGACGATGAAGGGGCATCAAAATCTGGGAGACGAAGAACCGGCGCACAAGTCACGGCCTTCTTGAGGGCGCGGAAGGCGTCCTCGTAGAGGGGTGTCCAAAATCACGGCGGGTTCTTCCGGAGGAGGGTGGAGGTAAGGACGTAGGAATACCTAGAGTATCCCTGGATAAAATTATTATAGTAGCTAGTGAGGCCTAGGAAACTGCGAAGCTGCTTGGCAGATGTGGGGACGGGCCACTCTGCAATAGCAGTGATCTTCTCGTCGTCCGTGTGGAGACCCTCGTCAGACACATGGTGTCCTAGGAAGTTCACTTTGCGCTGGGCAAAGTGACACTTACTAAGCTTGGCATAGAATCCCTGCTTGCGTAAGCGCTATAGGACACCGAGGAGGTGTCTGATATGGTCTTTTGAGGTACGAGTGTAGACCAAGACGTCGTCCAGGTATACGAGAACGTATTCTTTAAGGATGTCCGTGAAGATGTCGTTCATCGCCGTGAACGCGTAGTGGTCGAAGCGCAATCGGAAGGCGATCTTCGGCTGATCCTCTGCAGCAACGCGGATTGGGTGATAACTGCTACGAAGATCGATCCTCGTGAAGAAGCGGCTGTCTGCCAGACGGTCGAACAGCTCATCCGCATGGGGCATGGGACAATTGTTCTTTACCTTGTAACGATTAAGGTCGCGGTAGTCGATGCAGAGGCGGAGAGTTCCGCCCGCTTTGCAAGCAAAGAGGAAAGTTGCACCTCAAGGGGAATTACTGGGTTTAATGAAACCCAGTCGAAGGAGCTCCTCAAGCTGATGCTTGAGTTCCGTCGCCTCCGGAATCGAGAGTTGACGGTGCCTGATGGTGAATACTATAGTCCGGCACGAGCTGGATAGAATGCTCAACACCGCGCATCGGAGGGATCCCGCTGTATGAGAAATACGGAGAGAAGACGTCGCAGTACTCTCAAATCAGGTCGCGAACGCTGGACTCTAAGTCTGCCATGAACTGTGTGAGTTCCTCAATGTCTGCGTCGGCACGAGACGTATGTGTGGACTCGACAGTCAACGACGTAGGGGCCTGGGACGTGGAGGGGGTATCCGCAGGTTGACGGGTGGACATAGAGATGGGAGCCACGAAGATGGAGGAAGGGTCAGGGGGATCGGACTCCAAAGAGATGAGCTCAACCTCGGGACAGAGTGGATCATAGCGAAGAAGATGCATGGCATTCGCTGAGTAGAACGTGACATCCTCCTGTCGTATGAAGTGAGCAAACCGACGAGGGGAAGTGAAGACAATGTCGGGGTGGGACACTGACGGACGAGGATCCTGGGGAGGTAGGTCGGGAGGGGTGTCGCCCGTGATTCCAATGAAGAGAACGCAATGGGTCTTACCACACTTCGTTTTGAGAACGAGTGTCTCGGTCGCCCATTCGGCCTTTGTGCCACGGAACCAGTGAGACCAGGGAGTGCAAAGGATAAAGTCGTACCCAGTCTCCAGCATGTCGAAGTATGCGGAGGAATGGTAGCGCCGAGACGCCTGGGTACTATCCGGTGGTTGGAGGGTGAAGGAGAAGTGGAGGTCGGGGACCGTCTGATTGAAGAAGCGATGTGTCTTGTTATCTCCGAGGGTAACTGAGATAGGTGAGCGAGACCCAGAGGTAGCTAGGCGAGCTTCCTCAACCACTCGAGGGTGAATGAAATCTCCCTGCGAGCCAGAGTCCCATAAAGCGTGGTACACCCTCGTAGATGTCCCTAGGCGAATAGGGATAATGGGTACGGTGCGATCAGGGTCAGAAAGCAGAGCGGGAAGACGACGCATGATGTTGTCGTGTCTCGTGAGTCACTTTTGACGAGCCTGAAGAATGCTCAAGTCCAGGAGAGATGACACAACGTCATCGCGAGTCGCCAACTGAGCGCTACAACGGGCTGTGCGAATGGTGCGATGCGTCGGAAGTCTTGGAGGGGAAGCACAAGATGCGGCGGTCTGCTGTGAGGCAGACAGTACCTCGACAGACGACGGGGCAGAGGGAACTGTGTCTGTCGTGTCCTGAGGATCCTCTGGTGGGGTAGCCAAAGGGGCAAACTGCGACTCGGTGGTCAGGAAGCCGGCTACGTGCGAGGCCTCAGTGGTACACTGCACCATGGCTAGCTGGGTGGGGCCGGCCGGGTGGGGCCGGCCGGGCAGGGCCGGGGGGGGACTGAGATGGACGCTGACGAGAGATGTCAACATAGTGACGATCAAGGGCGGTATGGTATGGACATTGTGAGGAGGTGTGTCCATTCAGGCGGCAACGAAGGCAGCCGCGCCGGGCCTCAAGGGCGACATGCTCCTCAGGGGATAAAGCTCCACGAGGAGGGACAAAACCCTGCGAGAGGTCTATCTGAGGAACTGTGGGTGTGCGGGTGCCAGCCTGTGCAGCCCAACTGCGCACACGACCCATGGCATACATGGCCATCTACAAACACTCAGCCACCGAGACAATATCGTCATCCAAGTGGTACTGGATGACATCCCGAAGCTCGATGTCCTTGGGGGCGTCCCCAATGGTAGGGTCGAGCTCGGCTGAGGCGTCCTCTCCATACTCGAGAGAACTGTAGTGCCGAGAGAATGGCGCTCCAGTTTGAGCCGGGCGACGAAAACGACCAGCAAAAGAGGAGCGGCCTCCTGTGGTACCGCGAGACTATGAGGTGGCGGTTGGCCATGAAGAGGATGGGGAGACGGAGAAGCAACTGCACATCCTCTGGTATTGACGCGCAGCCTCGTATGCCTGCTCCACGGAAGAGAATGAACGCCTCCATAGCTCTAAGTGGTAGTCAGTCGGCGGGCTGACGAGGAACCGGTCGGTGAGTGTGACCTCCGGTAGGAATATCTCGTCACAAATAAGGCGAGCGTCCTGAAACATCCGGATGTGATGCTCCAGGTCGGCCGGTACAGAGGACCTGGACCATCTGGTCTGGGTGACGCGGTCTAAGGCGTCGGTGGCGTCATGACGAGCGGCGAAGCAGTTCTGAAGGAAGGCCACGAAGTCGGACAGAGTGGGGAGCTCACCCACGCGGAGGCGCTGGGTATAATGATCCTCCCACGCAGTAGACGGACTGCCTCACAATTTGGTTGCGAGCACATCGCACCACTACCCCTGACGAGTGGTCATCAGCGAGAGTGTGCACGTTGCTATCTTCAACCAGCGAGAGACACAGGATGTGCCATCATACTCGGCAATGTCAGAGGTGCGCACAAGAGGATGTCCACTGTGCTGATGGCGGGGGGAGAGAGATCGAGGCGAGTGCAATGCGGCGGCGTAAGTCGGGGTCGCTACAAGGGCAGAGGTGAGGGAAGATTGTGGGCCGTGGCCGCTGGCGGATGGATCAGCAGACGAGGAGGCAACGGCCACGGGAAGCTGTCCCGGAATGGCTAGGTAAGAGGGGAGAGGTTGAGGATCCGATTGAGGAAAACGAGAAGACATAATGGGGATCCAGGAGGTGGTAGAGGAAGAAGAAGGGTGAGCAGCCTGTGAAGGGTGAGGATATCTCAGGGCCAGGATCTCCGCCTGAGCCTGCGCAATGGTGGCCTGTAAAGTGGCCACTTGCTGGGTGCACGGGGTCGGAGCTGGAGGAGGCGGAGCGGGTCTCCTAGTGGGAGGAGGAGTCTCAGCTTGGGTGGTACCCTGCTGTGGGGGTAAGGGAACGAAGGCGGGAAGAAGAGGGCAGAGTCCTAATGCCGCGACCGGTGCGGCAATCTTGGAAGCAGCGCCGATGTGGATCAATGAAACTGCTGGGCCAGATGGTCGTATCGGGACTGCAGCACCTGCGGCAACAGTAGAGACGGTAGGGGCGGAAGGAGCCAAAGGAGGTGCCGCAACAGACGGGGTGGTTTGAGCGGCAGCGACACTCACCACTGCTGAGTGAGAGTGTTGGGCTTGAGCCACAAGGGAGGAAGAACCACCACGTCCGTGCAGCCGGAGTCGTGGGGAACCGGTCGGTGAGTCAGCAGGGGATGGGGTGTGAGAGTGGAGGGGAGAGCGGTGGAGAGAGCCCTTGAGGCGGTTGACGTCAAGGGCAAGCGCATTGATTTGCGCTTGCAATGGTCCAAGCGTACTAAGTTGCGTCAAAATTGCTACAAGGACGACATGAAGGTCCATGGTGTCTGCATGGGCCTGATCATGTGCCGCTGACTGCGCGGTGACCTGGGATGTGGACTGCGCCTCGGCGAGCGCTCTCCGTGGGTGGTGGAGGAGGAGAAGTAGACATGGTGGGAGGTGGGAGAGATATGGGTTGTGGTATGGGGACAGGGGACCATCGGTGAGAGGGAGGGGACCGCGAGAGCGGAGTGGGTAGTCGTGGGTTGGCTCGCCCCGTGACCAGCGGGTCTCGCGTGAGATGGTGGCGCAAATCCGGTCGACGGGAGAGGAGTCGTTCAGGTCCAAGGTGCCCGACGGGAGGAGGTGGGAGAGTAGGAGGGGGGTTAGAAGAACCCTAAACCCTACAAGAACCCTAAAAAAACCCTAATCGAAGTTTAGGTGGTTAGGGGAGGGTAGCGGCGACCTAATCAAGAAAAGAAAATAATAAGTATAGAGGGGAGGGGGAGAGAAAATAGAATAAAGTTACAATAAACAGTGAATTTTTTAGATAAAAATAAAATAAAAGAATAATTAGAAATAAATAAATAAATATTTATTTTTTGACAAAAATGTGCCAAGAGGAAGGAAAAAGCAAGAGGAGCACACTAACTTTCAAAATGCCGCAAATTAAAATTTTCAAAAAAATAAATATATAATAAATAAATAAATAAATAAATAAATAAGGAGGTGGAGGAGAGTGAAGAGAAACTAAGTTTTGGAATTTTTTAAAAATTTCGGCAGCATTTCATTATCCCTATGGGGTCGAAGTGTGCCGTCAAGAAAAAGACTAAGTAAAATGGGAAAATTTGGCCACCGCTTCGCTACCCCCAAGGGGTCAAAATGTGCAGTAAGAGGCCAGCACTTCGCTACCCCCAAAGGGTCAAAATATGTGCCGACAACACAAAAGACTGTCCTAACAAGATATAAAGGTGCTGCAGAAAAATTCGAATTTTCAGAATAAATAAAATAAAAATAAAAATAAATCAGAAAATGAGAAGAGAAGTAGGGAATAAGATAATTCGAATTTTTTGAGGAAAAGATAAAATTTAAATCAAAGAGAAAGAGAAAAGAAGAAAAACAGAAAATTCGAAGTTGGGTGGGGGCGAGGATGGAAAAGTGATGAAGAAAGACTCTGAAAGAGAGAAATAGGTGAGAAGAGAAAGAAAAAGTAAAGTGGGAGATGGATGAGATAATGGTGTTGCAGTTGGGGGAGGGAAAGGGGGGAGGAGGGTGGTAGAATGGGAGAGAAGAATATAGAAAAGGTGGGGAAGACTAAATGAGATTAGTAGAAGATGGTGAGTGGGGAGGAGAGGAGAGGAAAAGAAAAAAATGAGTGGAGAGGGATTGGGGGATAGTAGGTTAGTGGTAGAAGGGTGATACCAGGCTCTTGGATGGCCAAGAGTAGAGCTCTACCAAGATCCACAAGATCTTGGCCTTCACGATGCTGCTGGCCTGATGCCTCAGCAATAAAAAAATAACGTTGATAATCTGTGGTTGGCTGAAATCTTGATCAGCCACAGATTTCACTGTAGTGCAGCCCCCTAGCCAGGGGGGTCTTCAAGATCCTCAGCAAGCTGCCACGTGGCACTGCAGATAGCCACCAGCTACCAGCCACGTGCGCAAGCAGCAGCACTCAC